CTGAGGATGCCTCCATATAAATATGACCAATCGTGGCTTTGCTGTTGTTGAGAGGAAGAGTTTTTAAGAATTTTCCTATGTATTCCTATGTAAAACTTTAATCGCCCATTGTGGCCCCACCCTACCCCGGGTGTCATGATTTGAACAAATTGAATCTACACTATCGGAGGATGTTTCCACATAAGTTTCATCTTTCCTGGCCCAGTGATTCTCGAGAAGATTTTTAAAATATGCCACAAATTTTCACTATTTCTGAATTATCTCCGCTTGAATGAAGGCGTGGTCCTTCATTTGAACAAACTTGAATCCCCTTCACCCAATGATACCTTGTGGCAAGTTTGGTTGAAATTAGCCCAATGGTTCTTGAGAAGAAGTCGAAAATGTGAAAAGTTTACAGACAGACGGACGACGGACAAAAAGTGATCAGAAAAGCTCACTTGAGCCTTCGGCTCAGGTGAGGTAATAATGAGTAAAAATATTTGTCAATTGTATTTTCATTATTCTTATCAGATATTATTAATTTATCTCTTTAATTTATTTTAAAAAAATCCCTAGCATTGGAATGTGTAAAGATATGAACGCAAATCGTTTGATTTTACGAATACTAATATTGAGGATAAAAATTGAAAATTTGTTAAAAATTGTTTTGAATATGCTTTTAACTGCGAATGACACAACGATAATGTTTTCTTCACTTTGCATTTATTGTGTTGTCCATCATCGCCCCGTGCAGCATATACTGCAGAATGTGTCCTTTTCACCTGCACCCAATATACTTTGTCGAACTCTACTATGTTTGAAAATAACAAGAAATTGTATGCAAAGATGAATGAATTTTGAATTAAGCATGACAGTTTTTACAAACAAAAGATGTGTCAGACGTATTCGTGGACAACTAATTTACAGATATTACATTTTGCGTAGCTTATCACAAACAAACAAAAAACTGTAAAAGACGTGAAATCACACACCCATTAATAGGAAACCTATGTCGAGATTGTAGCTCTACTGGTTTCATTTTCTTTGTGCAGTTTTACATCATGTACAGAATGATTTTTATCTTACTTTTTCTAGCAAAATTCTTAGTAATGAAATAAGATAACGAACATTGATTGATCTCAAATACCCTTTAAATACTGGCCCGTAGGAAGCAATTTTCAGATTTCGTTGTTTTTTTCCGTGGGGGGAGACGCGGGGGAGGAGGGTTACAACCAAACATTTTCAGTTTCGGTGATACTTTCAACAATTCTTAACAAGCTAAGAAGGAAGGGCATTAGACATTGTATTGTATTGTATACTATAGTTTGGAAAAATTAAGGGGGGAGACATGTCAACAAGGTCCTATAAATATAAATGTTAAATTCAGCTTAAATTTACTAAACTTCTGAGTACCGTACTATTCCCATGTGGATTTATTTATACTATCTACGCCATCACATTTTTTTCTGCAGAAATATCGCAGCGTACTTAAACTGCATTATGGACATGTAATGACAATCAAAGAAATCCAAAGTTTGAATCTGATTTATTATATATTTAAAGGTACAAGCATTTGGCACACATTGTTCGCCTATATCTTTTTTGGTAGAGAGCTTAATGCTTATCATAACAATGATAAACAGTTTGACTGCTTGATGTCAAGAAATAAAGAGGAAAATGTATGAAGATTGCATTAATTTTAATAGTTTTGATCCCTGTCATCGGGCCCCAGGGGACAGGGACCGTGAAATTCACAGTTTTTGTTTCCTTTGTCCATAGTTGCTATATGTCAAAATTGGTAAAAATAGAATCAGCGGTTCCAGAGAAAAAGCCGAAATGTTCAAATGTTAACCGACTACAACAGATGAATAAAGGGAATAATGTATCTTAATGTAGGTTACTTATATACAATCAAACAAGAGGACCATGGGCCAAAAACTCACTTGAATAACCTTTGTCCAACTGTTTTTCTTCAAAAGATTTTTTTCCCCTATTTGTTCACTTGAAATGACCCTAAAGAGATTAGACATTGTTTTTTTTTTCTGATCCACACTTCATGGGGATGCTCGAATTTAGATTTATCGGCAATGTATAATCAATTAACAATAGTTCATTTAATTCATATGTCGATTCGATATATCGTAGTGAACTTGAATTAAAAGCATCACAGAGTCTGCAACATCTGTTTCATATTTGGATATTTTACCTATAGACGATAAGGGCAAACTAAGAACTGAATTGTATGACAAACAAGATGACTTCAACTTTTCCATCGTCAACTTTAATTTCATTAATTATGTAGTAAATATCCCGCTATCACCTGCTATGGTGTTACGTCTCTCAACTTATAACATACTCTGAGTATGATCAATTTTTAAACCGAGGCAGGCTACTGATAGATAAGTTGATGTTACAGGGATTTGACAACCTCGTTTAAAGTCAGCATTTCGTAAATTTTACGGTCGTTATAATGACCTTGTTAGTAAATATAACCTATCACTGTGTCGTATTTTGGCCGACTTGTTCGATACCAATTGTTAGGTCTTTGTTTTTATACTCAATCTAATTAGGGATTGTTCCGTCTCACTTATCAAAGCATAGTGCTCACGGCGGGTGTAACTGGTGAATAGGGAATATTTACTCCTCCTAGACACCTGATACCACCTCTAGAATTTTCAGGGGTCTGTGTTATATGCCCTCTTCACAGAATGGTATTGTTTATAGTTTTTAAACATTTATCACTGTTCGTTATCTTCACCACCTTTTTCATTCAATATCAGAGATGATAAACATTCGCTGTAGATAAGGCTTTTTTCATAGATGATAAACATTCGCTGTAGATAAGGCTTTTTTCAGAGATGATAAACATTCGCTGTAGATAAGGCTTTTTTCTGTATAAATGCATAACGTAAAATTTAATTCCCGATGGTAGTCCCACCCTAGCCATAGGGGGCGTAATAGGGGTGTAACGGTATACCGCAATACACAAAAAATAAATTTGTACCTGATTGCGGTGCACAAACTATATACCTGTGTGTCACGATATTTAACATTTTACGCAATTTATAATCTTTCTTTTTTAGTTTTACCTTATGGAAGTATTTTTTTTAATTTACTGAAGCTGTTTTATTGTGTTTAGAGCTTATTAAACTTACATACTGTTTTCGTGAACTGAAAAAATAATAATCAATTTTCATTCTTTCACATTGTGTTACAAAGAATTTCTACTTTAAGAATAGAGACACACAAAATATATTGAAAATTATGAAGGGTGAAATATTGCGATACAGTCTCAGTGTATCATTATGTACTACATATAGCTTTAACCGTATCATTACCACTATTATGAAAAAAAAACCCTGATTGAACACGAGTTCATTTTAAGGAATGTAAATTGTAATACGATTTAAAGTGACCTCGGTTCTTTTTAAAAGATTTTTAAATTACCATTATTTATAATATAGAAGTACTTCCATATTCATGATTTTCGTTTGAAATATATTGTTTATAGTGTATATTGGTTAAATGATAAAAAATCAAAAATCGATGGCATACCCTAAAAATACTTTAAAACCCAGAATAATACAACAGAACATTGATCTGAGATAGGAGACAATAAACACGTCATTGGCAAATGCCAGGTAAATAATGTGAAAAAAATAAAACATATACTGTACAGCAGGTTAAAATCGCGGTCGGAAAAGATCGCGATTTGTTCAACTTGCAGCAAATCGCGATCGTTTGAATTCGCGGAAAGGAAAAATTATACAAAAAAAACTTTCCACACTGAAAGTATTTTCCCTTGCGTATTATGTCGATTCTGAACCCGATTAAATAGAACGAAACACCGAACTGATCTCGATTAGAAGACAAAATGTTGTACGATTTACAATATTACGCATTCAGATAAATTTTCTTTCTTTCTCGTGTTTTCTTTCTTTCTTTTTATGAAATATTTTTGAAATACATATGAATCTATACTCGAGTGATTTATTCAAGTGATTTCAAGACGTATCCAATACATTCATGTAAAAAAGGGCCCTTTGGTTGGTGTTCGTTCATACATGTAGGTATGTTTTGGGTAGAGTACAGAGTAGTGTTTATTGCAGTATATTTAAATCTCTCTGAATCTGAATAAGTTGTCAGTACCTGTAATCAAAATGTTGAACTGTTAATAAAATTGAATTAATGTGTAACAGTGTTGTCTTTACTACGTAATTGCTTTGATTAAAGATAATAGGACTGAGTGAATCGCACGGGTGAAAATTAACAATAGGCCTACATGTTTTATAGATAATTACATCGCACCTCTACTGGGTGGCAGAATTAAATGTTAGTTACAGATGCTTATTTATCAATTAAGTTTTAAAAAACAACTCAGTACGTCTTAGTAAATAAATTGATCCGTACACTCGCATAATTAGGAAGACAGTCTACATCTCCGCTATATTAATTACTGCTTTTATGTTTGCAAGGAAAAAGAAATAGAGTTATCGAATCTAATCACAGATGTCGGTAATATTTCAATTTATCCTTATCAATTTTTGGAGAATTATTCACTGTATGTTGAATTCGCGGAATTTTTATTTCCGCGAATATAGCGAATATTAACTCCGCGAGTTAATTTCCTGCTGTACAGTACTTATCTAAAAATATAAGTAAACATACTTGTATTTAGGATAAATCGTTACGGTTAGAGTTAATTCTAATATATCAATATACACTAGGACAATATCATTATACATACCGCGATATTTCACGTTTCATATCTTAAAATAATTTTCATGTCTCTGTTCTTTTATGAGAAATTGTCTATTGTAATTTGAAAGAATTAAAATTAAATTAAATTATTTCATGTGTTCCTAAACACATTAAAACAGCTTAAGCAAATAAAGAAAATCATTTTAATTAGGTTAAATTCAGAAGAAATTATACAAAAAAACTTAAAATGTCAAATATCGTGATACATATGGTATCACGATTTTTGAACTACAATACGTTATACGTTTTTGTGTATCACGTTCTACAGGTATATCGTTTCACCCTTATCTTATAAGCAGGTACACCTAGTTAGCCATTTTGTATTAAATTTTGTATTAAATATGATATTTATAAACATTTGCGTTTTTAATTACTGTACATTCTTTTACAGTTCGCGCCTTCCTCAGGAAATCAAGTACAATATCCAATCGCCATTCCATCACCTCGAGGATCGGAGCCAGCCCATAGAGTGGGGATGATTTCTTTTCTATATTCCTGACCCCTGAAAACAGGTCCCCTGGTAATTATCTGACCTCTACCGAAACGACTTCGGTTTTCTCCACAAACAGGACCTTCCACTGTGTGACCAAAACTTTTCAGTTTCTGAACAACATCGGGGGAGATCCCCTCTTCTACAGCAATAATTGCACTGTCGTACCTGCAAATTCATTTTACAAACGCATGCATATAGAAAACATTAAAAAGAAGATGGGCGAATAAGTCGAGCGAAATGCCTAGAGTGCGACAAACATGAAGGTGAAAAATTAAATCTCAATTATAACAAAATTTTCTTTGATATTTCATCTAATATTAAAGTATTTCTATGTAAAATCTCCACAATTTGCAAAAATCTCACAAAAATTCAATCATTTGCTTAAGAAATTGCATACACACAACAAGAGGCCCAAGGGCCTTAACGGTCACCTGAGTACAATACAACAATTTAGAGGATCCATAGAGTATTAAAATGAAATGAAAGGTGAAGCTTTGTTGCCCAAAAGCAAGAAAAATAGGGTGATCAGGATCAATAAAATAATTAGTCTACTATTCATTAACAGTTCATAAATTAGGTTTTAATCTGTTCCCCATTTATCACTATCACCATACAGTATATTAACAAACTATCAGTGCTTTTGTACTATTTTAATTCCTTGTTGACAGTTGTAATCTCTTACATTGGCCTCTCTTGGTCTTTGATGAACATTTAATAAGACAAGTTATTTTTGTCTCATTTTTATTTATCTATTACTTACAAGTCCACATGATCATTAAAACTATGAAAATACTTTTTGTATTATACAATAAAAATTCTTGCATAATTCTCTTATTCTATTAATTTTTCAAGTACATTATTTACAGTGATTAATTATCAAAAGTAAACGGCAAAGGGGAATAACTCCTCTCAGTAGAATGCAAATTAATTGAGCCCTGGCTAGGACCAGAACACTTGACCAAATGGTACAGATGTTCAAAAATCTGGTAAAAATACCCTTCCTTATTACAACTTTTACACTTTTTGCCTCTGATATGCCCAAGTGCAGAGAAGATTTTTAAAGAAATAATGCATTTTCACTACAGATTCACTCTATTATTAATAGAGCCCCCCCCCCCCCCTTCACCACCGAGAAACACCAGAGCCTCTCACCCTGGGACCAGAAGTTTCAAGTTTGCTCATCATAAGTAATCACTTTGTTTAACTGCTTAACATTAAGGAGCAGACAGGATTATTTAATAGAATTAATGCATTTTCACTACATTATCAACAGCCCCACCCTTATACCAGCACATCTGACCCAGGGGTCATGCAATTCACTACTCTGGAAGAAGCACTCTTGCTCATCATAACTATATACTTAGCTTCTTTGCTTTTTAACCAGAAGCAGAAAAGAATATTTTCAAAGAAATTTTGATTTTTCACTACATAATCAATAGAGCCCCCCCCCCCCCCTTTTGACCAGAACCCTTGACCCTGGGGCCATGAAATTCACAATTTTAGAAGAGGCATCCTTGCGTATCATAACAATGTACTTAGTTTGTTTAAATAGTACCCAGGGGCAGAGAAGAAGATTTTCAAAGAAACAATTCACCTTCACTGTAGGAGCTATATAGCCCCGTCCTAGCACCAGAACCCCTGTCCCTGGGGCCATGAATTTCACAATTTTGGAAGAGGTGTCCTTGCTTATCATAACAATGTACTTAGTTTGTTTTTAATAATACCCAGAAGCAGAGAAGAAGATTTTTAAAGCATTAATGCATTTTCACTATACAATAAATAGAGCCCCACCCTAACATCAGAACCCCTGACCCAGGGGCCATGAAATTCACAATTTTGGTAGAGTCGCTCTTGCTTATCATAACTATGTATTTAATTTGTTTAAATAATAACCAAGAGTAGAGAAAAAGATTTTCAAAGAAATAATGCACTTTCACTATATGATCTAGATAGCCCCCCCCCCCCCCCCAGCACCAGAACCCCTTACCCTGGGGCCATGAATTTCACAATTTTGGTAGAGTCACCCTTGCTGATCATAACTCTGTATCTAATTTGTTTAAATAATACCCAAAAGTAGAGAAGAAGATTTTCAAAGAAATAATGCACTTTCACTATACGATCTATATAGCCCCACCCTAGCACCAGAACCCCTGACCCTGGGGCCATGAATTTCACAATTTTGGTAGAGTCACCCTTGCTTATCATAACTATGTATTCAATTTGTTTCAATAATACCCCGGAGTAGAGAAGAAGATTTTCAAAGAAATAATGCACTTTCACTATATGATCTACATAGCCCCGCCCTAGCACCAGAACCCCTGACCCTGGGGCCATGAATTTCACAATTTTGGTAGAGTCACCCTTGCTTATCATAACTATGTATTCAATTTGTTTCAATAATACCCAGGAGTAGAGAAGAAGATTTTCAAAGAAATAATGCACTTTCACTATATGATCTATATAGCCCGCCCTAGTACCAGAACCCCTGACCCTGGGGCCATGAATTTCACAATTTTGGTAGAGTCACCCTTGTTCATCTTAACTATGTATTTAATTTGTTTCAATAATACCCAGGAGTAGAGAAGAAGATTTTCAAAGAAATAATGCACTTTCACTATATGATCTATATAGCCCGCGCTAGTACCAGAACCCCTGACCCTGGGGCCATGAATTTCACAATTTTGGTAGAGTCACCCCTGTTCATCTTAACTATGTATTTAATTTGTTTCAATAATACCCAGGAGTAGAGAAGAAGATTTTCAAAGAAATAATGCACTTTCACTATATGATTTCTATAGCCCCGCCCTAGCACCAGAACCCCTGACCCTGGGGCCATGAATTTCACAATTTTGGTAGAGTCACCCTTGCTTATCATAACTATGTATTCAATTTGTTTCAATAATAACCAAGGAGTAGAGAAGAAGATTTTCAAATCTATATAGCCCCACCCTAGCACCAGAACCCCTGACCCTGGGGCCATGAATTTCACAATTTTGGTAGAGTCACCCTTGCTTATCATAACTATGTATTCAATTTGTTTCAATAATACCCAGGAGTAGAGAAGAAGATTTTCAAAGAAATAATGCACTTTCACTATATGATCTTCATAGCCCCGCCCTAGCACCAGAACCCCTGACCCTGGGGCCATGAATTTCACAATTTTGGTAGAGTCACCCTTGCTTATCATAACTATGTATTCAATTTGTTTCAATAATACCCAGGAGTAGAGAAGAAGATTTTCAAAGAAATAATGCACTTTCACTATATGATCTATATAGCCCCGCCCTAGCACCAGAACCCCTGACCCTGGGGCCATGAATTTCACAATTTTGGTAGAGTTACCCTTGCTTATCATAACTATGTATTCAATTTGCTTCAATCATACCCAGGAGTAGAGAAGAAGATTTTCAAAGAAATAATGCACTTTCACTATTTGATCTATATAGCCCGCCCTAGTACCAGAACCCCTGACCCTGGGGCCATGAATTTCACAATTTTGGTAGGGTCACCCTTGTTCATCTTAACTATGTATTTAATTTGTTTCAATAATACCCAGGAGTAGAGAAGATTTTCAAAGAAATAATGCACTTTCACTATATGATCTATATAGCCCGCCCTAGTACCAGAACCCCTGACCCTGGGGCCATGAATTTCACAATTTTGGTAGAGTCACCCTTGTTCATCTTAACTATGTATTTAATTTGTTTCAATAATACCCAGGAGTAGAGAAGAAGATTTTCAAAGAAATAATGCACTTTCACTATATGATCTATATAGCCCGCGCTAGTACCAGAACCCCTGACCCTGGGGCCATGAATTTCACAATTTTGGTAGAGTCACCCCTGTTCATCTTAACTATGTATTTAATTTGTTTCAATAATACCCAGGAGTAGAGAAGAAGATTTTCAAAGAAATAATGCACTTTCACTATATGATTTCTATAGCCCCGCCCTAGCACCAGAACCCCTGACCCTGGGGCCATGAATTTCACAATTTTGGTAGAGTCACCCTTGCTTATCATAACTATGTATTCAATTTGTTTCAATAATACCCAGGAGTAGAGAAGAAGATTTTCAAATCTATATAGCCCCACCCTAGTACAAGACCCCTGACCCTGGGGCCATGAATTTCACAATTTTGGTAGAGTCACCCTTGCTGATCATAACTCTGTATCTAATTTGTTTCAATAATACCCAGGAGTAGAGAAGAAGATTTTCAAAGAAATAATGCACTTTCACTATATGATTTCTATAGCCCCGCCCTAGCACCAGAACCCCTGATCCTGGGGCCATGAATTTCACAATTTTGGTAGAGTCACCCTTGCTTATCATAACTATGTATTCAATTTGTTTCAATAATACCCAGGAGTAGAGAAGAAGATTTTCAAAGAAATAATGCACTTTCACTATATGATTTCTATAGCCCCGCCCTAGCACCAGAACCCCTGATCCTGGGGCCATGAATTTCACAATTTTGGTAGAGTCACCCTTGCTTATCATAACTATGTATTCAATTTGTTTCAATAATACCCAGGAGTAGAGAAGAAGATTTTCAAAGAAATAATGCACTTTCACTATATGATCTATATAGCCCCACCCTAGTACCAGAACCCCTGACCCTGGGGCCATGAATTTCACAATTTTGGTAGAGTCACCCTTGTTCATCTTAACTATGTATTTAATTTGTTTCAATAATGCCCAGGAGTAGAGAAGAAGATTTTCAAAGAAATAATGCACTTTCACTATATGATCTATATAGCCCCCCCCCCCCCCCCCCCGAACCCCTGACCCTGGGGCTATGAATTTCACAATTTTGGAAGAGGCATCATTGCTTATCATAACCAAGTATTTAATTTGTTTCAATAATACACAGGAGTAGAGAAGATTTTCAAAGAAATAATGCACTTTCACTATATGATCTATATAGCCCCGCCCTAGCACCAGAACCCCTGACCCTGGGGCCATGAATTTCACAATTTTGGTAGAGGGCTCAATGCTTATTACAATCATGCCAACAGTTTCACTGCTTGATGTCCAGGAGTAAAGAAGAAGATTTTTAAAGATTGCATTAATTTTGGTGGTTTTAGCCCCACCCCTCAGGCCCCAGGGGGGGGCAGGGACCATGATATTCACAAATTTTGTTCCCCTTCACAAATAAATGCCATATGCTAAAATTGGCTGAAATTGGTTCAGCGGTTTCAGAGAAGAAGCTGAAAATGTTCAAATGTTAACGCACGACGGACGACGCACGACGACGGACGAAAACAGATAGCAATAGTGACTCAGGTGACCTAATAAAGAGGGCAAAAAGGATCATTTTCTCATACTGTATCACAATTTTTCGATATGAGTGGGTCTTCGCTCCATTTTTTTGGAAGATTTTCCTCAAACTTTGTGTAAAAAAAGACATTTTTTGGTTAAAGACACAACATTCGCATCTTTCCGAGTAATACTTGAAGTCCATTTATTCAAGGGTCATGTCACAAACAAGATTTAAATACCACTATATATCAGTAGCTGCGTAGCGCAGTGGTAAGCGTGTTAGTCTCGAATGAAAATGATACTCTGGATTTTTATTGCTAAGGTTAGAACACCACGAATACTACATTATTTTTTAATAACAAAATAATTTTTGCAAAGAAAATTTTCGAAACAAAATTTTTTTTTATCATAAATTTATCAATTTCAACAATGAGAACTTTACTCTAAATGCTAAATTCACAGATTGAATATGTTTTTTACATATCTGAAGCTATAGGCTTCCTGAACGCCTTGTTCACCCATCTCCTTTTCTTAAATTTAATAAATTTACATTTTACTTAATTTCACAACCAAAGTGCTTGAAAATGTGGATAAAAAACATTCCAGAAAGCAGGGACAATCCATTTTTAACAACCCCTCCCTTTTTCAGATTTTTTTTTCCGAACACATACATATTCATAATTATTTGAAATAAATTTTACTTGATTTTGACAGTTGTGTTGATTACACAGAATTTGATATGAATAATGTTTGTATCCACTGCTTACCCGTAGCTTCCTCCCACACACAACCTCGGAACGTCAAGAGCCTTCTGGGGGTCCATCCCGAATTCAATCATGTTTAAAAGCGTTTGCACCTGCCCCTGTGGCTGCATGAACCCTCCCATTACACCAAAGCTCACCAATAATTCATCTTTAAATTGTTTAAAAAATAGAACATTATTTAAGATCAAATAACTATTTTTAAAAATTTTATCATGATCTCCTTTTGTTGTTAATATAATCCATGCATACGGACATAAAATTGAAACATGAAACTGTATATACATCAAGAGCAAAAACAATTATAAATGCAGGGAATGACTCCCCAAATACTCACTGCTATTAGTATCAGTCACCATGCCAGGAATAATGGTATGGAATGGTCGTTTGTTTGGGGCAAGTACATTAGGGTGTTTGGGGTCCAAAGAAAATCCACAGCCTCTATTCTTTAGATAAAAAAAGCACATACTGAGAGTATTTCTTAAGAAATATATGAAATATATACCCCCTAAAGGATCCAAACAAAACTTAACATAATATATATATCATTACATTTAGGGATGTCAACGAGAACCCGGTTAACCGGGTACTCGATCGAACGTCCGAGAATCGAATACTAAAAATGGTATTCGGTTACTCGGAAGTGTATTTTTTCTTATTTCAAAGTACATATTTTTATCAAAAATTATCAAAAAAATAACTTAAAACTGCATACGGTTATTAGCGTGTCGTTATGTACACCTGTAAATCACCCTTTATCGCCTGTGGCTGTGTATATACAGTAATTAGTGACCTATTATGGTCTTTAATTTTTGGATGGCTTCAATGATTGCTTTCAGTGAACATCGATTAAGTATGGTCTTTTATCTTCAAATCATCTTAAAATCATTTAGTTAATATTTGGCAGCGAAATCTGACATGCATAGAAATGCCACTACCCACTTCAAAAGTGAAGAAATGTTTAGAAATAATTGAAGATTAGAAAAAATGTTGAAAGACAGTTTGTGTAGTAAGTTTATACGGGGGAAACAACCATCTTATACTAGCGATTCCAACAACGTCCGTCCCTTCCCTTTAGTCTATTCATCACAAACCCGCTTAAAAGATTGTTCTCCTTTTGCGTTGATGAAATAGATCCTAAACAAGAACTGTAAACCATTTGTAATTTTTGATGTATCAATTGTGTCTTTTGTGTTTATTTGATAAATAAATTTAGTACCAAAAAAAATCAATCCCATTGGACTCGATGTTTATATGTATACGTTTATAAACGTGATAAAACAGCTTTGGGGTTTGACAAAGCTTAACGTGGTTCAAGAAAATGAACACATTTTTACATGTACCGAGTACCCGGGTACTCGATCGGAAAAACGTCCGAGTAACCGATTATCAAAAATTGACCGATTTGACATCCCTAATTACATTATATATATATATATATATATATATATATATATATATATATATATATATATATATATATATATATATATATATATATAAGCTGCCTCTTGGTACTTTCAATTTGATAATTGTGTCAATTTAAAGCAAAGTATTCTCAGTGTTTGTAAATTGAATATTTCCCCATCCCATAACCTCCACCTACAATTTTGATGAGAAGATAGGCAAACAAGGCATAACGTCAAATGCATAATCTGTATTTTAAGTATTAATTATTTAAAGATATGAAATTCTGACAAACAAAACATTTTATGCGGAAAAATTCTCTTGGCAAAACCATAGGCATTTTTTCTCAGCTTGTTTGCCAATCTTCTTTGCTTCCATAGAATTTATAAATTAATGCATACATAAAACTTCCTAACCTATAAAATCTCATTCTCTTTATCTGTACATGCAACAATGTTCCAAATCCAATTAATTGCATAATTTGCATCTAATGTTTAATTCACGCAACAACAAAAAAATACTTGAAACAACAACCTTTTTTTTAGTTTTCCTCAATAATGAACATGAAATAATATGAAAGGGTAAGAACTCATAATAAATAAAGAATCAGTAACTACAGCTGGCCATGGAATACTATCAAAATCGGACTACCGTTGCAACTTTGCATTTCAATCGAAGAGTTTAAAAAAAGTTTAACAATAAAAATTCTGGAAAACAGATTCTAAAATTAGTCGATATATGACCAGAACTCTTGCAAAAAATGTAGAAATTTCATTTACTTTCTTTATACAAAAGTGTTAAAAATATAATGCCACTAACTCAATGTTAAATCCAAAATAGTCCGATAAAGAGAAGTTTTGTCAATGTTTGGTCAATAAAGAGATAATATGTTGACGGTGCGACCGTTAGGGCGAGCGCTGATACTTATTCAGATTTAATTTAGATCGGACTCGATCGTCAAACTGCACTTGACATTTGGTGCGTCAAGACTCTGACGTCATATGACGTCTTATTTAAGTTGCATTACCAAACCTAAGTCTGAATATTGTTGACTTTAATGAAGAACGTTTTATTTACTATTTATCTGCAATATATCCATTAAATCAAGGCGAGTTTATTTTTGTTAAACTTTTAATTGTTTTTGTTCTCGCGAGAACGTAGCTTAACCAAGCGATGCATTGTGGGTCCAGAAGTTACTGCGGAAAAAAATTCGTTTGGATCAATGTGTAAGTCCGAATTTTCTCTTCGCCCAGACGTTGTCGTTAGAGCTCGCATTGCGAGCGGCGCTCGCGCCGCTCGCTATAACTCCAAAAACAGGGTTGAAATTTTGAAAATATAACGGAAGGTCAGATAGACAGAAAAGTGAAACATGACTACCTAGTAAAATGAATCTGTTCATATGAAGCAAGTACTGTAAATCACTTTTTATTCGCAAGGACTTTATTTTCGCGTAATAACGCAAGACGGTCTGCTCACGATAATTTCATTCTCGCGTATATTATTGTTAGTATAGGTTATATACAACAATATCCAGAACTCGTGAAAATGTTGTCTCGCTAATAAATACCAATTGAAATACATATCTCGCGAAAATAAGGTGTCGCAAAAATTTGGTGATCTACAGTATGGTGAGCTGTCGAGGTTGCATTATTTTTTTAATGCGAAGTTAACCATGTTTTTCCGCTTTATACGAGAAGACAGAAAGACATTTTTTGTGAAGTAGTTTAACACATTTTTAAGAATATTATTCCATCATGGCCAATCGTAGACCATGGTACTGAGAGACTGTGGTATTGAGATTCTTATTCCTAATATATTTTTAGAGGAAGCAACCCTTCTCAAAGACCATGAGGTAGAAACTTGTGACAGATTTTATTTATATTTAAGTCATGTCTCAAGGAGTTCAAAATGCAAGACCAACATGGAAAAAAGGATAAACATAAAAAGCTTTCATAATAAATAGGCAACAGAAAGATCACATTTTGTGTGAACGAACTTCACACAACAGAACCATGACGTATAGGACATCAGATGTTAGACATGTGGCCTATATGCATCTAAATGTACATCTGAATAATTTTTCATTGAAACGATATTTTTAAACATTTCTATTTGCACCAAATGACATAGTCAAACATAAAAACTGTCCATTAAAAAGATTTTTTTAATCAATCTCCTTTCAAAACCCATGCACTTGAGAGATCATTTTTGCCGCATACATACGTAATCAAAATTAAGGGATGTATTCGCCTTAAGGAGTGGGAAAAAGTGACATAGTATAGAAAGGAGGATACTATGATGTTACCATAATATTATCATGAATCGTATGCGAGAATTATTAGTAAAGTTTTAGATTAATTTGCCTTGCGATATGACACGCGAACAATTGAATTAAATGAAAAGTAGCACTCCGTAAATTATCACCGGGTAAACGGTACATTCGGGATGGCGGTAATGCGTGATATCGGATGGGGATCCTCGAAGCGGCGAGATACAAACAAGGTGAATAGTATTGGCATTTTATATACGATAGACGTGTAAGTTTAATAATATTTTATGGAAGAGAGAAACCACCAAGCAACCCCAGACCCTTCAACTAAAAGTGCTCCGTTTTTTTTTTTTTTTTTTCAAATACACCTCACTTTCCGGTGTATGAAAGTTTTCGAACTTGACCAAATTATCCTCAAAGGATTTTCTAACATCGTAAACAGTAATGAAAAATTATAATAGAATTCAGCTTTATTACTACCTTGTAGGCCAATGTATTTTCTAATTAAATGAATAAAGCTTCAAAGTCAATATGACGCTCGGTGGTTTCTTTTTTTACAGGGTGGCGGCATTTTTCAGATATAGGGTTTCTTTTTTTGCACGCAGTATCTCCTGATTTATTCCAAGGACAAAGGAAGACATTATAACATGTCAAACTGTAAGAAGTGCACTTTTGCGTTCTACCTGGTGATAATGGTTGACAAGTATTTTGTCAATCTCACATACTACGGATATATTAACACATATAAGCTTTACCTGTAGTGTAAAGCCACATCCCTCTGGTACAAACCCCGTTCCAAACCCCATGAAGTTGCTATTGATGAAGGAACATGCATTGCCTTCTTTGTCTGCCGTGGTAAAATACACCGTATCATTTCCAACACTAAAACTGCCACGTTGGACATCACTAGATGCTCTGTATAGTGAAGGGAAATAACATTGAAAACTGCAAAACGAAGTTACAAAGTTTTGTTTCAGCAAACAAACAAAAGAACTAATATTTTCTGCATACTTTTCAAAGCAAAGGAATTATTATACTTTAATTCTGGTTGTTAGGGGAAATTTGATTGGATGAAAAAATATTAATATTCTAAATTAAATCCTTTAACTTGAGATTCCAACGTCACAATATGAATTGCCAAAAAATGAATTTTATACGCTTGATGGTGAATTTAAAATTTTAACAAGAGTAATTTAATGCCATTTTGAGGAAAAGTCTAATTTTTCTTCATTTTATTTTAGGAAATTATAAGGAATTACTATAAAAGTTCCCAATTTATACTCTTATAACCCATGTTCGAACAGTTTACGTCTTATAAACAGCTTTGCAGTTTAGAAAGCGTAAACTTTAATTCCTATCCATGGTTGAATGTTCAGCAGGATATATTGAATGCTTATTGCTCTACTGCCTACTCGAAATTAATTTTCATCAGAAGTCTATGGGTCACATCGCTCACCTGAGCACTGTGGCTAGGAAAAAAGCAGAAATCAGTTCAGTATTGAAAAGCTTCAATGCATAAGTGGTCCCGACCTACCTCTAAAACGTCGGGTGGAGGTGGGGGTGGAGGGTTTATGATTTGAACAAAATTGAATCTACACTAACTAAGGATGCTTACATATTTTTTTGACTACATATGTAACTGTGGCTTTTTTCCTACAAGTTTGAACTTTCATTGCGGCCCCACCCTACCCCCGGGGGTCATGATTTGAACAAACTTGAATCTACACTATTTGAGGATGCTTCCATATAAATATAACCAATCATGGCTTTGCTGTCCTTGAGAAGATTTTTAAAGATTTTTCCTATATATACCTATATAAAATTCTGATCGTCCATTGTGGCCCCACCCTACCCCCGGGGGTCATGATTTGAACAAACTTGAATCTACACTACCTGACGATGATTCCACATGATCGAGTTTCACCTTTCCTGGCCCATTGGTTCTTGAGAAGATTTTCAAAAGATGTCATTAATTTTTCAATATTTTGTAATTATCTCCCCTTGGAAGAGGGTGCAGCCCTTCATTTGAACAAACTTGAATTCCCTTCACCAAAGGATATTCTGTGCCAAGTTTAGTTGAAATTGGCCCAGTGGTTCTAGAGAAAAAGATGAAATTGTGAAAATTTAACAACAACGACGAAAGACAACGGACAAAGCTCACTTGAGCCTTCGGCCTTCTTCAGGTTTCCGGTGTAATCTATTACCGTGAAAAAAAATGTTTTCTATAACCAGAGATAGTTCTTTCCGTTTTAATTGTCGAGGTGCGTGAGTTATTTACAGAGCATCAAATGTTTTTGTTTGTTTGTATGTTGTTTAACGTCCCTCTCGAGAATTTTTCACTCATATGGAGACGCCAGCACTTGCCGGTGGAGAGCTGCAAATTTTGTCCTATACTCGGCACTTACGGCCATTGAGCAGTGAGGGATCTTTTTCGTGCCAGCATATACTGCGACACGGGACCTCGGTTTATACGGTCTCATCCGAAGGACCGGTCTCCACGTCCCACAGTGGGATTCGAACCCGCGACGTAAGGATCAAATCCTTACTTCGCGACTCTAGAGCAGACGCTCTAACCACTGCGCCACGCGGGCGACTTGCATCAAATGTGATATGATATAATTACAGCCATAAATTGTATACTGGATTTCTAATGAACAGATTTCAATTTTATTTGTTAGTAGTAATAATGTCTTCCCTTTCTCCTTACTTCATATAGTCCCTACATACTACATTGTATGTATGACTTTTGATCGAATTATCACTGTGTTTATAACTATCCATTTCTGTTCAGGAAAGACAACTGACATATTTGAGATCAGGTAAATTAAGACAGTGAATAACTCCCGATTTTAAAATGAAGTACTTCCAACGATTTTTTTTATAAGAATGCTCTAATTATATACTAACATTTGGTGTCTCTATTTGGAACTTTCGTTGAACATTCGTTGACAACGGGAAGTAATGGACGCAAAAGCCTAAGTTTATTAAGAATGTCAATAGAAATTCTATCTTCCTTAACCAGAAGTCTCTGACGAGACTGAAGCTCTACTGGTTGTACTTATAAAGGAAGATAAAGGTAGCACTTGGACTTGAAACTTTGCAACAGCAATAAATAGAATAATGATCCTTGGTTTAGTCTCTTTTTGTGGCAATTTGCAAGATTTATTGCAATCAGACTAAAACTGTAGGAGGGGTAGCCTTTTAAAACAATTTTAAAGAAATTTCGATTTAAGTAACCATTGCAACATCATTCAACAAAATCAAAAAAACAATATAAGACAATTATGTATCTCAGTATAGTCTACTTGTATGCCAAGTTATACTGAAATCAGACAAAAAGTGTACACAGCAACTTTAAGGCTTCCCGAAGCTTTAAATGTATTCAAAATATAATATTACATTTCGAGGTCAATTTTCATTTTAATTTGCATGTTATGTACTTCTAGATCTGTATAGCCAATTTATATAAAGAGTTCTCTCGGCTATATATCAACACAATTATTATATCACATGACTCCGTTGATCACGTGACGGTCATTTATAATTTTTGGAAGTGTAACATATAAGTCGCTTCGGCGCAGCCGATTACTAGTAACACAATTAATATAACCTTTTGTTATATAAATCAATTCATCGAATTTTTGTGTACACGAAATGTGCTTGGGAAACGTCTTAGTACTACTTTGGTACAAAATATCTCACGAGAAGTTCAACTCCCCGACAAAGTTGGGGGTATTTTCCAATCAATATCGTAATCTGTATTAAAACAAAGCCATCACACATTTTTCCCAAGCAAGATCCTGTTAGAGAACAAACTCCTTTTACAGATTTGCACAAAAATAAAAGATATGAAATTAATCCTCATTAATCACCTGAGTCAGACCCTTTTATATACATTTTATAAATTCTATCTCTAACCATGGGTAAAAAACAGAGTACATTTCAAAAGTATATTTTTCTTAAGCATTTTGAATACGCTGAATTTCGATCAATGGGAGTGAAGCGATGTATTTTACAATATTCGGAATGTAAGAATTATGTATCTTAGTGTAGTCTACTTGTGTGCCAAGTTATACTAAAATGAGGCCAAAACTGTAGGAGGAGTAGCGTTTTGAAAGTATTTCCCAGAAATTTCTTTTTTAGTAACCATGGCAACACCGTTCATTGAATCAAAAATCGATATACAGAATTATGTAACTCAGTGTAGTCTACTTATGTGCCAAGTTATATTGAAATCAGACCCAAAACTGTAGGAGGAATAGCGTTTTGAAAAATTGTTTACAGACGGACGGACGACGGATACCTTACTATCGCATAAGCTCTTCTGGTCTCTGACCAGTTGAGCTAAAAATCATGTCTGTATCGCGTCGTTTTGGAAAAAAAAAGCGTAGATTGGACTAAATTACATTTTGCAAAATGAAAAAAAGAAGGGTCATACAGGTTGCTGTAGTACATCGCAAAATCTCAGCAAAAAGCGAACCAGTTTGAAATATTTTGTAGGAATGATTCACCAAATGAATACCTGTATATGTAGAGACTTTTTAATTTTTTGTTTTTTGAATATAACATTTTTTGTTACCATTTTTGTTGGATTTTCATTTTTCATCATGAATAACTAACCTGTCAGACTTGATCAAAGACCTTCTCTTGGCAGCATACTCTTTAGACAGTAGTTGAGTTATAGGAACCTCAACTTGGGACGTGTCAGCACAGAACCATGTTGTATCAGTAAAACTCAGCTTTAAGGTCTCGGCTAAACTGTGGATATATTCAGCAGAATTGTGACCCATTCCTAAAATTATAATTTAAAAAAATACAAGTCTTTTTTCAATAATTCGGGCATTATTTTTTATAATCTATCAGAAATCTACGAAAGCCCAGAAGGCTCATTCGAGATTCGAAATACGAGATTCGAAATTCGAGATTCAAGATCCAAACTAACCAATCAAAAGGCGGATTCAGTATTTGATTACTCCCCTTTATTAAGTTTTTACTATCAAGAAATCAATGAATATATTGATAACAAATGGGTCATTTGCTTAAATAATAATGCAAGAAAAAATGTTATATGTATCAAAACTAAATAGAAATAAATTTTGGATAACGTTTTGAAAAATATATATAAAATATTATTTTCCTCATTAAACAAAACAATAGATACATATATAGAATATTGTATGGTCTTATCGTTGAATAGCAAATTTGGTATGTAGATAAATTATTTAATATGCACATTGATGAGGGAGAAAATTGTTATTAATATGAAATAAATCCTAAACGATCATCGTCTTTACACTGCACAGCAATTTTATTAAGGATACATTTCATTACATTTAAGGGTGAATCTGTGCAGTTAGAGTGATCGACTATTTGATATGGAATAAAATAAATTCCAATTACTGTATATATAATTTTAAATTAATTCAAGTATTCAAAGCCTTACTTGAAAACTTAATTTTTATGTATTTCTCCTATTGGGAAACACTCACAGTGGTGTATATTCCCTTCGGCTAATGTGTACGCTAATGTGAAGTCACAGATTTCACCTAAAGGGCATCATTGCCGAATTGCGGATAGGTAAGGAGGGAGTCGCCCCTCTCAATAGAGGGGGGGGGGCGGATGACCACTTTCTGCGATCTTGGAGACATCTTTCATTGTCATTTTTCCAGTGAATATAATTATAAATCATTTAAACATATTTTTATGATACAGAAATTAAAATCTTCATGACCACTTTTAATAAAATTGAGAAATTTTAAAATCCTTACACAGTGCTTGGAAATTATGGAAACTTCTTTACTGAATAATCTAAATATAATTTTTAATATGTTTTATGTTTGACTCCCTACTAACACAAACATATTTACTAATTTCTATTCCCTGTCCGAGCCGTAGACTCCTGTTGATGTCATGTTTAATAGTCTGATATCGACTTCAAGGAAACATTTCAATTTTAGATTTAACCAGCTTTAAAAAATCAAAAGTTTTGTATACTGTAAAAATTGGATAGGCATAAAAGCGTGGATTGCTACAAATACTTTTATTGCATTTGATGAAAAATATTCTAGTAACTGGTAAATAAATAAGATTTATGATCAACTTTCCTCTATTTTTCAACCAAATACATGTATAAATGAATTTTTTTTTGTCATCAAGAAAATGATGTGTAGACTATAGCCTTTTTGCCTATATGGAATATACACCATTTGGAAAGCGAACGCGATTTTTCTTTATCACGACTACGATGTCTTTCTTGAAAGATTTCCTGTGTACACTAAAAAGGCATACATGAACTAAGTAATTTTAGGCTATACGATTTTTTCAAAGTCCTAAAGGTGTATAGAGGGTCCATCGTTTTGTTAAAATAATTAATTTTTTATCATTATTAAATACTTTTATATCTTTTTTACATCGTGTATTGAAACTTGTGTATTGATTGGTTATGTATCTTGCGAGACCCGAGCGGTTTCCTTATAAATAATTACCGAATATATAATTATTTTGCCCATGCATCGCAAGATTGACACTGAATGTTGATAACCGAACATATGTTTACCGTTGTAATAAAATAAACAACATAGCCATAGGACTCTGGGCACGTCTCTATCTCTCTCTCCCCCACCCCACACACACACATTCCCCTTATATTTTTTACCGATATAATTTACTATAGAATACATAGCAACTTTATGCTTGTGTCCTTTCAAAAATAACGTCTAATAACCGTGATAACCCCCTGTTGTTTTTTTTTAGGGGGTGGGGGGTGGGGGGGGTGGGGCTTTACAGTGATTTGTTATTTTATTTCCTACGGGCCTGAACAAAGAGAAATCATTATCTTTATTAAGCATGTATATTTCAGTCATCCGTACTAAAGGTATCACACCGGTAATTGACCAATCAAAATGAACTTAGTCAATTGTAGTTCCATACATAATAAAGAAATATTTTTTTTATTGTGAGAAATTTTTTAATTTCCCTTATTCTATTTTTACATTTTTGGTATCTGTGCTTAGGGTATTTTATGTACTTTGTAAAATATTAAAGGTTTTTGACAGGAACTATTTCTTTCGGGGCATAGGAGGCGACTTCCTGGGGTGCACACAGAATGTTTATAAACACATTGAATACACGTGGTTTTGAGGGTATTCCTGTTTGCGGATGGAAAAAATCAGAAAATGCCGTGTAGGTACCCTATTTTTTGGTGTCAGCTGATGTGACTGTTAACATTTAACACTTCCTGCTAAATATTTTTCATGAATTCGAATACCTGATTTTTAATGATTTTTTATTCTATATAGAATAACATAGTGAAAACAATTACCGGTGTGATACCTTGAAAGGGGCTGTCTCTTGGTTTCACAAACTTGGTCACTGATCACTTTCTAACACCTTGTTACAAACTATATCCACTTTAAAACTCGTACTGGTCACTGGTCGCTTTCTAATACCTTGTCACAAACTATATCCACTTTGAGACCCGTATTACTAATTATTATTAATCGCTAGTCACTTGTTTTATTGCACACTTAACTTTGAAACCCGTATTAGTCATTGGTCACTTTCTAATACCTTGTTACAAAATATATCCTCTTTGAAACCTGTATTACTATTTATCATTAATCGCTAGTCACTTGTTTAATTGCACACTTATAATTCTCATCAACTACAATACGCCCCCATCCCCCTACCTTTGCTCTTTGAATCCGATTCACAATATTTATTATTATGACATCAAACCTGTAAAGAAAGTAGATAATACGATATAAATATTCTTGATATAAATCTATTATAATATTTAAGAAGTTATAATACAAATTTAAGTATATTTTGCAGACCAAAAACCCAATATTTTTTCTAATTTTGTTCTGATATATATAACACTCTTTCTTGCATTGTAATATTATCAAATGACCTCTTCGGTTTGAATATATTCAACGATTTCTTGAAGGTCAAAACTTAGCAAAGGGGAGTAATTGAATCTTAAACAGCCTTTTGATTGGTTAGTTTGGATCTTGAATCTCGGAACTCGAATTTCGAATCTCGTATTTCGAAACTCGAATCTCGAATGAGCCTTCTGGGCTTTCGTAGAAATCCTATTCAGTAATTATACGTTTACGCAACATGTATAATGAGTTCGAGAAGATTGAGAATACAGGGCGTGTATTTGCTTGGAAGAAATGCTGGTGTAATGTCTTCTAATTATATTTTAGATTTGTTTTTAAGAAATTAATCTAGACATAGGGCTTGAAATATATTTTGGGGAAATTTTTTTATTGCGATGTCAAAGTACAGAAAATAATTGAAAGGTAAGGCTTATATTCACTGAAATTTTTTTTTTTAATTGCGCGCTATTAATGCTCCCATTAGCTCGAAACGCATATCTTAGAAAAATAGGATGAATAGGATGATCTTTCAGAAGTAAATAAACGGACACATATTTGATGTTACACACATACTGATACCTGGTTTTTCATAAAAGTCCATTACAGTTGAAATGAGATATCACTGCACTGACCATATTTATGAAGAGTTGGCGTAATTTATTCAAATAATCAATGACCTAAAAGGCCAGGGGAAAAAATCCTATATTTTCAGAGTGATGTATACACCCGTGCGAACAATTGAAGCAGATTCTACCCTGAACTAATTATAAGCAGGACATTAAACTGCATTTCGCTTGGGAACGATAAATTTAAGGCTTATTAGGGTAGGAGACGGAACTTCCAGAAATTCCGTCATATATCGGTATTGCCTAAACCTAACAGATTCTTGGCATCAACAGCTACGATGAATTTTATCCAGGGGTAACAGCCAAACATTATAAAAAGTTTCTGCTTGGATTTGTTTGGTATAAAGGAGCAAAACTTGCATGTAAATGCCTTTGATTGGATAGATTTTACAAAAGTTCAAGTATTTGGACAGACTTCCTGTATAGAGGTTATGTTTGAATTTGGTCAACGGACCACCATTTGTAAGAGTATTTTCCAATTTTTATGATTCTTCCTGTTATGGAAATCGTTAAGGATTCTGGGTGACGGGTATGTTTCTTAATATGTGTGTTAAATGAATTGATTGTGTGCATTCCAATGAGACAAGGTCATGTATTTCCGAAAGTGAAAAGTAACTTTGACTTCAGGTCTAAAATAATAATAAATTACTAAAGGTAAATATCTAGCTATGATTTAATTTCAAAGAATCTTAAAGATTAAACTCAAGCAATTAATTCTTTTATTTGAAAACAATAACCAAAACAAATTTCTATTGTGGGCCTTTAAATAATTGGAAAAAATTTTCAATTTTTGAGAGAAGTACATTACATGTACGTACATGTATTTGTTTTGTAACAAATATTTTCAGATTCGTGAAAAACTAAATTTGAATGGCAATCTTTTCATTTGAAATTTATACTCTAAAAATATTTTGACTTAATTAGGTTTTATGGTTAAGATGTCGTGTAATACTTTGTAAAGTTGAAAAGATATCCCCATCCAATCGGAATGCTGTTTCCAGACAGCATGTTATTTTCCAGGAGGGGCTAATTAACGTATACCTCTCAAATTTTAGGACCATTTCTGATTGGTGTGCGATTGGTTTCTACGTTAACGTAGAATAATTTAAATATTATTAAAACCTTCGTGTCCTGTTAGGGAAATGTTCAGAATCACAGCATCTAAACGACTCTTTCCAGTTTTAAAGATTAAACTAATCATCGCATTTCGCTAACTTCAAGAAACACAGTGCCGCAAAAAACTGGAAAATAGAACAAGAATCCCATTGGCCTAAACGTTCACC